CCTTATACCAACCCATGATTGTCAAATGGGAGATACAGCAGTTGGAATAATTGGTACTGAAATTGACACTTTCGATTAGGATTGGCTAAAAGTTTTACAACTGAGGTTTAACACGCCCAGACGCAGTTTTATAAAGAAAACAGACTAGAAAAGGGTTTAGATACCAATCATAGATGGCAGAACCAGTGCTGAGGTGAAAGGAAATATCTTAAAAAAAGTTTGAAAAAACATTTCTTCTTAGAGGGTGCTTATTTACAGTCTAAAACGTGTTTTAGGAATTTTTTCATTAAATTACTCTTTAAACTTCATTAAAGAATACAATTTTGTACAAATAATTGAATGTTATGCTACTATTTATAAAAATAAAATCGGAAATCCATTAAAAGATAAGTTCTCTATCATTTTTTCAATTCACAAATGCACACTTGCATTGCCTACTAAGAAAGTTAGTACCAGTAGTCATCAGGTTAATAGATGGCACAGGAGTTTTGGTTACATATATAGATACTGATATACACACTGTGTAACATTAAAATTTCCTTATTTACATATGATTTAGGGCTGTTTTTTGGCAAAATTGTGAATTGTCTAAAAAATGCCATTACTAGTATTAATCAAAAGAAACAAAAAACTTGTGTTATTGAAGGACTGGTATATTTTGAGACTAGAAAATAATTACAATATACCCTTTATTAGGTTATATTTTTAAGCAATTATATTTTTTTAATCTTTAAAATTAATTCCTTGGTGACTTTTTAAGGAAACCATGAAGAAAACTATTTTATAAAAAATCTTCATATAAACAAAGGGATCTAAATTGTGAAATCTGGTTACTGGGACTACTGAATTAAGGCTTCACACTAGCTTTTTTGCCATTTTGGAATTACTCTTAGTATGAAGAAGAAAGAACTAAGTTTCAGTTTTATTTGTAAGATATAAAGCACATGTATTATTCTTATGATTTTTTAAGAATGTTTACTTCAAAAATTAAAAAAAATTATAATTGTAGTCAAAGAAAATATTTTGCCTTTGATTTTATTTCCATTAAAAGTATTCAGTAAATTACTCAGTAGGTATTTTTATGAAGTACAATTTGAAAGACTTTTTTGTCTTTATGTTTTCTTAAACCAAGTGGGCCCGGCATGGCCAGGTGTTTATAACTTTCTCTACTTTTTATCAATCTATTCCTATGTTGGTTGTTTCTTTATTTCGATGTTTATGCTAGAAGTTTCAGTAATTTAATTCTGTGTGGTTTATAGCTACTAGATGATAGTAGGAAATGGTGGAGAGCAAGAAACATGCGTGGACAGGTTGGCTATATTCCAAGTACTATCATAGCTCAGTATCAGGGATCACCTTCGGAAGATGAGGTCTTTAGTAATCCTCTGTATTCTCGTGCTGGGCCAAGTCGAAACAACTACTACAGTCCCGTAAGTTTTAGTTTTTTTTTAGCCTACTGAATGGTTTTATATGTTCAAGCTTATTTTTCTATGGTGCATCTTGTTTTAAGTTTAGTGTGAAGACTAAAAAGAATGTATTTATAACCTCTTTTATGGTGGATCAGAAGGATCTTTTTTTTTAGCTGTTCAAAATTCATAGTTTCTTGTGATAATGCAGATTAATCAAGTATTAAACAATGCTCCTATATAGAGAAACAAGAAATACTGCTTAAATGTCATGAAAAAACTTATGAGATAATTTTATTAATTTAGTTTACTTAATGCTAGTAATTGTTAAACCTGCATTTAATTTTAAAAACTTGTTGAAAAAAAATTGTTGTTTTTAGAAATAAAGATTATAAATGGTGGATTTTCATCTGAGGGATTATAAATGTGGTAACAATCCATTTAGAAAAATTTGGCTACATGAAATTATATAGTTCAATAATTGGTATAAAATACAGTAATTATCTCATTTTTTTAAAAATATTGTCTGCTAAAATAATTTAGTATTGATAATAAAACATTTTAAATGTATCTGTTAAGTACAGTATTTTTTTTACTTTACAAAGTTTAGCTCAAAAGGAATCTGATACTATAAGAATATTTCAAGTATCATGCACTATTGTATATTTTATGTATTACTCCTAAAAATATTCAAAGTGTTGGTTTAAATTACTCTGAAAGAAAAACAAAAGATGGAGTCAATATTTTTTATTTTATCATAGTGCAGTTAATGTTTCTTGTTAGACCAAATGTTGGATTGTAGCAGGTGTTAATAGACATTACTTTTTAATGCTTTATACTTCATATTTCAGACCTGATGGACAGCACAGCACTCTTTACTGCTGTGCATCATGTATCAGATAGTATGAATATTATAGTACTCTTTATTATTCTGTATATTATTTTCATACCTGATTAACAATGCAGTATGGTGTATTACTGTAAGCTTTATATATCAGAACTTATGAACAGAACAATACTGCTGTATATTTCAAATTTCAGATCTAATTGAAAGTATATTACTCTGTGCTTCTGTATAAGCCATGTTTCAGACTTGATGAACTGTAAGCTATTATTACTGTCACTATACCTTGGTCATCTAAAGACGTAATAAAAGATTTCAGTACTTTAGTTTGAAAAATGTGGCCAGTAATGCATACTTTGTACAACAGAGTTTTTACTTCACATGTTGTTCTTTTATTAAGCATGATAAACAAACTTATTAAGAACCTGTTTTAGAAATTAAATAGTTTTAAGAAAATAGCTTAAGATGACAAGATAATTACATCATTTGCTTTATTGCATTATTGGTACTGATTTTATTTTTTCAGAATGAATCTTCACCAGTCCAAGAGAGAAGAAACGACAGTAGCTCTGGGCCATCAAGCTCACCATATCGAGGTCCTTCATACCACCCAATTCCCACTCCAGCATCAGCTGACTGGATCCAAAGAGAACGAATGGGAAAGAAAGGTGAATTTCGCTACTTCTGATTCATCTGACAATCCCTTGTGGCTTTCTTGCCTTCCCATGTTTGTCTACCCTCTGTTTGACTATCTGAATGTGTGTATTCTGAGTAAATATGCTGAATTACCTTTGAACATCTTAGCTTCTTAGTTGAAAGTTGATGATAATTGAAAATGACATTTGAAACATCACTTGTGCTTGGTGCTGTATCAGGAATGTTCATCATATTCTTGTGTGGAGTTCTGGGTGGAAAGTAAAATATTTGATGGAGATTTGAAGAATAACAGTTTATTGAAATATGGATTGGAACTGAGAAGATTTGTTCATTTGATATTATATTCTCATATTATTAACACAAAAATAATAATAATGACTAAATGGTGTATAATTCTGTGGCTAATAATAATGTTCACTAGAATCATCAGTCTTAACTGTGAATAGAATTCAGCATTAGCAATATTTTTGTAATAACTAATTATTTTTTGTGCGGTACAGATTATTTGGTATGGTTGTGCTGAAATAAGAGTTATGTGATCTAATTGCAGTTAAAAATATAAACCAGAAATTGATTTTCCTCATAAAATATTAATTAAGAATCTTCACACTATATTCTAAAGATATGATCAAATATAAAAGCTGAAAGAAAATCATGTTTCAATTAATAATTGTTAAATTGATATTGATAAAAATCTTTTTCTATAGATCTATTAAAATATGAAAGCCAGAGAATAAACATTTAAATTGAAGTTTTTGATTGGTGATTGTAGAATATTGATTAATAAATGTGGTTTTATATTATAACTTCTGTTAAAGGATGAAAACATAAAAATTATTAAAATCTGAATATGTTGAAGAAAAATTTTACTTTATACTCTAGAGCATGAGTTCATATTTAATCTCATGTTTCATATGTTGTGAATATCATTGTTAATGTACATAGTATAATATAAACTACTAGTTAGAGTGGTTAAAGTGCCTTTTGTAATAATGAATTTGAACATATTTTATCAAGAATTCTTTATAAAATTGTTTTGTTTTTATAGAAGATGGTTTTAATGCATTTTATTTCTAATGAAGATATGATTCTAGAATTTCAAGGTGAGAAGATCTTGTAGAGATTGCGGATCAAGGTATAACATACTTCCAGTGATCCAAGTATAAAACCCATCATATGAGACAATTATCTTGGAAAGTATCAAATTTTTATTGCAAACAAGTGTTTAATCTCACTTAGAATTTAGTGAAGGATATCATTATAAGCAATCCAATTTTTGCTGGGTTTTAAGGAACAAAATCTTTGATAGGAGTTTAATTTAACAGATATCAAAAGAACCATTTGTTTGATAATGGTTCCACATGATTTGAGGTTAAATGTCTTATTAAGAACTAAATTAATTAATAATAACTCAAGGGAATAACTTCCTTGGTGAAACATGCAGGGATCTGGAGACCAGTTTTGCCCATTAAGAGTTTAATTTTTTAATTCAAAGAATTGCTCCAAAGGGTCTTTGGGTCATTATCCACAACAGAATTTTAACCTCTTCAAATACATCCCAACAACAGAAACAGAATGTGAAAGTTGGTTGAACATCAAATGTGTCACACAACAGAAATGATGAAAATGAAGATGACCAGTGATTCTCAGCTTTTTTTGTGCTACATATCCCCTAATCAAACTTCTGAGCCAGCTGCATACCCTTAATGCATATATTAAAAAAATATATTATTTATATTAATGCAAAAGTAAATATAAAGAAATAATTTAAGAGTAATTCAACAATATGCAAACATTGAGTGCTGGCTAGTGGAATATGTTGGTGATTCACCAGCCCTTCAATTTAGAGATGTTGGGCTTATTTTCTTGTTGATGTTTTTCAAAGATTCTCAGGTACCTCTAGAAACCTCTCTGCATACCCTCAAAAGTATGAGTACCACAGGCTGGGAACCACTATAATAGACAATCATTCTAAGTCAAGGAGAGAGTTTAGAATAGTTGAAGGTGGAGAATGAGCCAAGAAAAAATATGTAAAAATGGAGCTCACTTTTATGGTGTTGTAGGAAGCATGCTGAAGTAATGAATTTTCAAAAAATTCTCCAATAGTTTTAATTCCATTGGTGAAAGTAAGATTTCAGATACGTACAAAATCCAACAGTAAAATGAAGTATTTGATCAGGGGTGAAATTATCAGAGATTGTAGGCATTTAAGCCTTGGAGATTGGAAGCATAGTTAAGTGTGGTGTACATTAGTGAGCTTCTCTCTCATAAGAAAGCCTAAAAGTGTCATAAAGACCACAACAGAAAGTTTGGTGGTTGATGATTGTCTTGTGTGTTTACCTTCCTACTTCACATGATAAATTTATATAATTTTACCTTCCTACTTCACATGATCAATTTATATAATTTTTATTTGTATTGCTGGTTGCACTTTTGAAGGTCTCTCCATACTTCTATTTCTTTTCTTTCCAACCATTATTAGTCTCAGAGTGGGTTCCTTGTCATCAAATTAACTGCATTAGCTCAACTTTCTAACTCATTATTGATTATTTTAGATTCTTTACTTGTATGCTATAAATTTCAAAAAAAGAATAGGAACTTGGGCTCTTTTGTTAGGTATTTTTACACAAAAAGCACAACTGAGTTGGTAATTACTTGTGAAACATACGAGTCCACAATTTATATACTCTTTGCTTTTGTTCCTATAACCTGTAGAACATTCTTGTTTTCTCAAGACAATTGATTACATGCATTTCTATTGAGTAAAAATTCTCAAAGCATTATGGAACAGATCACTGATGAGATGCATGAGTTTAGCACAGCACACTCCCATCTGAGTGAGCCAATGCTTCACAAGGCTGTACTTAAGCTCTTCCAAGATTAATTCTACACATCACACTGGCCAATAAAGAATGAGCAAACAACAAGCTGTAGATTGTAATGCAACAAGCCTACCTCAAACTGGAATACCAGATTAACCAGGTCAAAGGAAGGCTGTAGCCCTCTTGTCCCCTCCTTGAATTTTCCCCTTGTATAGTCTTGCGACACATACTATTAAGTGTAAGGTGATATATTTCAGGTGTGTTGTATCTCAGAAGTTATCCAAGTTAAGTAGTGAATAAATAAATGAAAAGGAATCTCAGAGAAGCATTTTTATGTTGGATAGTGGTCAATAATTGCACTTGACAATAGACATTTCTGAAACTGGGTAAATATAATGGAAATTAGAAGCTTTCCATGTTGGATAATGAACTCTAGATGTATCAGATATGAGAAGCTATCAAGTATGGTTTATAAATCTAAACTATGTCATATAATTGAATATGTCCAAGTAATATTACAAAATACATTTGTGTCACCAAATAAAAGTTTTTCAAGACAAATGAGGGTGGTAACTCATAAATGTGTCATATACCAGAAGCTTTGTAAGTTTGGGAAGTGAATCACATTTATCACCCAACCAGATACACTGAGAGGGTTGGAAAGCTAGTGAAGTTTTTATCAAGGCCCTCTGCCACAAAGGGGTTCCTGGAGAAGGCATATACCAACCAATCCTTCCTGAAGCCCTAGAACACCTCAGTAGCCTTGCACCCAACACAAGTTATTCAAGTTGAGGCATATATTAGGTTTAATAGCAGTAGCTTTACAAGACTTTTATTGATTCATAGTAAAGTAAAAAAGAAAGAAAAATAAAATAATGATGTTTAGCAAATCACATTTGTGTCACCCAACAAAAAAGTATTCATGGTTTGATAAATATTAAGTTTTTTTTATGATACTTGTAGGGTAGTGAATCATAAATGCATGCAATAACAGAAATTTTCTTTTAAAGTTGAATAGGGAATTACAGATGTCACACAGCAAAATCTACTGGAAGATTATATATAAAAATCCTGTTGAAAATGATTATATCTTATAACTACTTGTTCTAGGGGAAATAAATTCTACCATTGGCACAATAAAAATCATATGTTTTATGAAGGAGAATTTGGACTTGAAACAAGGTGTTCCAAAATCACCTTCGTAGAACGTTTTCAGTATGCTTTCTCAATCAGCATATCAAACACGTATCTCTAAATTAAGTGGCTGCAAGCATCATATGTTTTAGACATTGTTCATATTCTTTAAAGAGAAATAAAAGCAATGCTAGTTTGTGAGGAAAGTGATTTAGACATGTATGCAGTAAAATATGATTTTGAAACACACTGTACTACGTCCAAAATGAATGAACCTTATGGTTGTTATTGTGCCTCACTGGTGATGAAATGTTTTCCCCATGAACAAATATCTTTTAAAATATTATCACCTTGTACTGATATCCAAGTCATGTAGTATAGCAGAAACTATTAATTGAGTTCTATGATACACTTAATTGAACTGTCAAGTTCATAAATGGGGCATACAAAAGAATTTTTGCAATGGACTGTATGTTATAAGTATTTTACATAAAGTAAGCTACTCAAATTAGACTTGAATTGTACATGTGTGTGTCACACATAAAGTAGAATATAAAAGTATATATATGTTGTATAACAGAATCTAATAAAGTTCAGGTACTAGTTCTCCTTTAAGTTACAGAAATGGTTATTAAGGTGACTTTTGTCCCTACTGGTGTTAACTTGTTTTATTTGTAATAGTTAGTTGTTTATGTAAATACCAAATTGTAACTGAAACAAAACAATTACAGATGTACAATTACATTTGTTTAGGAAGTTATTGAGCTTTTGTTCTATTTTGTTAAATAAAAAATTTTATTCTGTCTTTATCATATGATTTTGCTATCTGTATAATAATCCCCCAGTGGGTCTGTGCTAAGTTTATGGACTTACAATGCTAATATTTGGGGTTTAATTCCCTGCAGTGACAAAGTGGTGATAGCCCATAGTGTAGTTTTGCACTAAGAAAACAACATTTATGTAGTATTCTACACCAAACCATTTTCTTGTTGTGCAGCCAGGATTCTAAATGTTATTATTTTTTTTATTATGCAAATTCTCTGGAAAGCCCAGTACTTGTTTCTTTTTATAAATTTGTATTAGTTTTGCTAAGGAATATTTTATTAATACTTATATTATCTCAAGTGCATTAGTTTGATAAATTACTAACTTGTTGATTTCTTTTGTATAAAAAAAAGTGTTTGGTTGTAATACAGATGTAACTAATATCAAGATTGCACAGTTACAAAACTTACATATGTATTATTTTTTTGTTATTGTATTGCCAGTATTTTATTGGAATTTATGTAAGAGTGTCCTGATTCTGTTTGGTTAGTTGGTAGAACTTTATAAGAATAGTACAACATTTTATATCTGGTGTTTCATGGAATGACAGAAGTTGCTTTAAATTAAATTCAGTAGTAATCTTATAGTGCAATCATTCCCCATGTTTATATTTAAATCCACTCCCTGGTGGCTTTGCAGTAAGTCTGAGGGTTTGTAATGCTAGGAATTGGATTTTAATGCTTGTGGTGGGTACAACACAGATATCCCATTGTGTATCTTTGTGCTTTACAACAAAGAAACAAATAAAATGTTAATTCTTTCAGCATGCACCAAAAATACTAATTTTCAAGAATTACAGATCAAACCCTCTAGTGAAGTTCAAAAGGAACTAATGTTAAACATTGAATATAAATAGTGTTTTGACCTCTAAAGATGTAAAACTTTGCATCATCATGTAAGATTAAATATGATATCATTTGAAATACTTTGCATTTGTAATTAACACGTTCATAGATTTTATTCACATTGCTCAAGATGTAATTTGCATTTTTGTACTCTGTGTTAACAAATATATTTTAGTCTTGAAAAATACCATTTGTATTAAATGTTCATTTATGTTTTAAGTCTGTTCATTGATGGTGGAAGTTATATATTTGGTTGACAATGATAATTCTTATGTTCACATAGAGTTTTAAGGCTGTTTACTGACTTCAGATGATAAACCTGACTGTTATTATACATAATCGTTGAAAATATGTTGAATTTTATTGGCTTTAGATATTAAATGTGAACCATAGTTCATCCAGGTTTTTGTCTGCTTATTGAATTTTTAAAGTAAAATGAGTTGGTATTGTAAATGACATTTAGCTTTGAAAAATAAGCATTTTAGAAATATTTTTCCATGACTTCTGAAAGTCACTGGTGACATCTAATAGTAACTTCATCAAGTTTTTTCTAATGATAAAGCTAAAGTCAGAGAAGTAGGTAAATAACTGTGTAAAGTGTATACATTTTTAATAAAGTGATCTGAAAAGGTTTTACTCGTAGCTCAGAATGATATGTAGCAGCTGGAATGTATGACTTTTTTTAACTTTGTTTGGACACTAAATATGAAGTAGATCATGGTATATGGTTGACCCCTTGGCTTCTGGAGTGAATCATTGCTGTATGTTTATTGATTTTCAATAAAACTTATATTATTAACAAGCATTGAACATGTTCCTTATTTATTATGTCTTTTCTGTTGAGTATCATGTCTTCCTGTACTTCTTTCTATATCATTTGTAACAATGAAGCCTTAACTGTTTATTTATTCTAAAAGTTGGATGTTATTAGATAATTTGTAACATATTTCTACCTCTTGACATTTGTGAAATTTCATAGCTTTATGTTCCTTGCATATGTTTGACCCCTGCTTGCTTATCTACCTTCTTTTTGTTAATTAACATGAATGGCTTATTAATTCAGCATGATATTGATGCATTGATATTAACCAACTGACAGGATAAAATATAATGTTGGCATTTTAAACTTTCAGAATTAAATTACTCCACATTTTATAACTGTTTAATGTTTTCTTTCAGTATTTTGTTTCACTCTGGTAGACATCATATAAAACAAAAATTAATTACTTTTTTACAGATAATAAAAAAAAACTAAAATTTAGATAAAACTTAGTTTTGAACAAAATAATATATTAAAAACTGTTGTGCAATCAGTTATTAGAATTTGAGTTATTTTCAGGGGATAGTGTTAGTGACATTTTAAATTTACCAATGTAGTTTTAACTGACAAAATGAAAATATGCAGTCAAAGTTTTTAGGCTACTAATCACCGATTGAGAGAAACATTGTTTTTTGTTTTTATAACTTTTGATAAATTTCATTTTAGCACCTAGAAACGTTATATTTTAGTTTTCTTTCAGTTGTTTAGCTTATTAACATTTTGCTTGCATGTAATAACCTTAACGTTTTATAGTTTTTTTTTACATGATTTAATCTAACACTGGTGGTGGTGACTACTAACAGACTAGTTTTTCTGCTTCCAAATAGATTCAGCTTTTAACACTGCTTTATCCAGAATGGATAGTCCAGATGGAAGTAAGTAAGAAGTTGTTTTTTTTTACATAATAGTTTTTACTAATGCTCCAGTAATTTTCGTCATAAATAAGCTGCAAGTTTTGATTCATTTCTCAAAGAAGTAAACAATAAATGAAGACACTTGTTTGCATCCAGAGCACTGAGTTGTTTAAAAAACAAACAAAATGAAAAAATGTATTAAAGCTGACCTTTACATGTTATACTATTTTAAGATTTCACATGTGAATTTTGTACTGAGGTTTTTTTCGTGACTAATGACTTTTCTCTATGATATGTATAGAAGTGGGTGTATTTAATACATGCTTCTCATATTTTTTGACATGGTTGGAGTTAACAGAAGTAATGGCTCATCCTTTTCTCCTTGAAGTCCATTTTTTTGAAATAGTTTTTTTTTCATTTGAACTTAAACTGCCAAGTATTATTTTAATAACTCTCATTGAATTTAAACTGGTCAATTTTATAAACAGTTTTTAAATGTACTGTAGCATGATTTTACTTGTTTCAAAATATTTACTTATGATTTTGAGATTTGTAAATACATGCTTAAAATATCTGTTCCTTTATACTTTCATATACCAGAAGCTAATGAACCTCTGTGAGTCTTCTTACGTAGGGTGAATTTCCATTTATGACATTTTATCTATGTTTGGTCTGACTTGAAGCATGAATGTTACCTACAGTATACCAGTTAATGTTACCAGCCGAATCAGGTGGTACATAGTGACTGCTAGTTAACATATAGATTTGAATGAAAAATACACATATGCTATCAGACAACCTAATTTCTGATTCAAGTCATGTCCAATATATCATTTAACCTATAAATCGAATCAGGTGGAATTAGTTGATACACACAATCTTATCAGTTAATCTGTTCTCTGAATCAGTTAATAAATACTTTCTGATTCAAATAATGTACAGTATATCATTTAAACTATAAACTGAATCATGTGGTACTCATGTTAAAATGTTCTCTTAATCAGGTTACTCATACAATTTATCACTTCTCTGAATCATGATACATACTGTCTTATCAGTTAACCTGCACTCTCAGTCAAGTAATCTCTAGAGCATATCAGTTAATCTACTTTCTTAACCAAGTGATATCTAGAGCATATCATTTAATCTAATTTTTGAATCAGGTGATATATAAAAGTCATTAATTAACTTACAACCTAAATCGGGCAGTGCAAACATCAAGTTACGAGTTAATGTACGGCCAATATCAAGTAGGTATATAGTATATTCGGTTATTCTATAATTTGTGTCATTTGAAACACAATAGCCTGAATACAATGTACCAAACAGGCTTTTAATTAACGTAATGTCAATTTCAATTAAATATGTGGTATATTCAGTTATCATTTGTATAAACTGAATTATTTTACTTTCTGAATCAAACTTTTAATAATCTGTCATTAACACTACAGCCTGACTTTGATGGTTGCTACATTTTATCACATAATCTGCAGTGTTATTTCAGGTAGAATATACAAGTTTACAGTTCTTTCTGGTTCATGTAATGTATAATATAAAATGTATCAGCTATCCAGTAACTTAATTCACAGATGTTAATATATATTTATAGTATGTTTAATTAGTGGAGCGTATAAATTATCATGTATTTTATTGCCTGATTCATATGGTGTACATATCCGATTCTACAGTCTACACATGATTCAATATATATAACTTAAATGTCATCATTCATGCTTGATTAGATGGTAGTTACAGTGTATTAGTTGGTCTGTAATAAATCATATAAGAAGCTGTACGACCATTTGGGCTTTGTTTTATTTTACCCTACCAGAATTGCTTCTGTGGATGACTTATGGCCACTTATACAGAGCAGGTAGAATTTACTGAACATTCAACCAACTTGAAGCTAAATATGTTAGTCTATAGACTTTATTTGTCAGAAAGCTTTATGTTTCAAAACATAACATGCATTGTGTTTTGTATGTTTTCTAACAGTTTATATGAATTATGATTTGAGCAGTAAATACAAACTTATCGGGTTGTTTGCAGCCTGAATAAGGTATTATGTATACAGTATCAGTGAACATCCTTAATCAAGTATTACACACACTGCTAGTCTGTATCAAATGCTGAAAAACGTTTAACAACCAAACATAGCTAAACTCTGATTAATTAAGAGTATATGGCATACCTAATTCAGACTTAATATATCTAAGTGTATTTGAATAAAAAAAAATCATGATTTTCATTACCATTGGTTGGTACAAGCTCAAATACTTAGGGGTCTATTTACTTAATTAATATTAACTTCCAATCAGAGTAAAACTGAAAATCAATTAGGAGTCAGTATAATGAAGTAAATATACTTTTCTTGCATCACTATTTATAAAGATTAGAATGCATTGTTTCATCAGTTGAGTACCCTCTCTGTTAATGATATTTTTGGCTCTACATTTGATTAGATTCATAAAACTTAATACACACATACATAATTAAAACACAAAACAGACCAGTTATGAAAAATCTGGTTTGGTTTGACCTTAAAACCTTGAGATTAAGTAATTAGTGTAAGAAATCTTTATGCTTATGCATCAATAAACATCAATAAATTCAACAAATTGCACCTTTAAGATTCTGTGGAACCTAAAAATAATAAAAAAAGGGAAATTAATTTGCACTATGTAACTATATTATCATGCAACAGTTTTGTTATGTAGCACAAGATAAAACAATATTTCAATATTAATATAAGATTCACTAACAGCATTTTTTATACAGACATTTTGCATATTTAGTGCAATATAAACAGAAGTCTGTCATGAAAACGTTTGTTTTAACATCTAAGATTTATCACAAACAAAATAAGAAGTTGGAAATATTATGTGATATTAAGTCATAATCAGACTGATAATAATATAATTAAATTACTCTTTACTTGCCCAGTAAGGCTTTTTGGTAAGAAAAGTGGATAACAGTATTTCAACCTCATTGTTTGTGTATGCCACTGCTAACAAGGTTTTTTGTTTAGTACTAAAGCTCATTACACCAAATGAGTTTCATCGTACATAGGTTTATATTTCAAGGCTGTTTATAACCATTGTTTTGGAGATGTCAAGTTAAATGGTTTTAATATAAATTAAAGTAGTATTTATATTCCCCTTTTTATATACATTTAATACTTTCAGCTATTTCTCTTAATGATAAAGCATCAATAATAGAAGTATGGAACAAAATAAGATATACAGAATTTACTTTTACATTTTATGAGCTTATGGTTTCTTCTTTTTTATCAAACAAAAATGTTTTGTTCTATAACCTTAGCAAGAGAGTTCACTCATTTGCTTGTGATTACTTTCATATTTGGTCTTTTTTTCTCTTATACTATTAACTGGATGATAATTTTGTGTATTCAACATGAACTACCTATTTTCTTCTTATGGCTTGAGCATTAAGTTTTAAAACATTTTATCTGTATATACTTATGGATGTTTTAAGAAAACTAAATTTGCTTGAAATGTTAAGTTAACTTAGACTACTGACATTATTTCTTTATCCATACACTTGAGCTTCTCATGCATGCCTTAGAGTGAATATTATACATAAATAGATATGTATGTGTACTTTATATAGAAATAATGCTCTTGATGAGATTTTTAATGTCTTCTTAATACATGCAACTTAACAGTTGTTAAAGAAATGAACATATTATTTTATTGACTTCAATTAACATTAATTTTGTCAGTAGAGGAATAATATTTTATAACTTCTATATAAAAATATATTTATTAATAAAAAGTACAGGATTAATAACTCTGATAGTCTGAACAATATTTAAACACAAAGATGTAAGTCTTCTGCTTAATGTTTTAATTATTTTATGTCATGGAAATGCTACTGTAATTGCAATACCAGTGAAGACATTTATTGGGAGTTAGGACTGAAGAAGTAAGCACATTTAATTGGGAGTTACAGTTGTACCAGTAAGGACATTTACTTGGGAGTTAGAATTATAACAGTAAGGACATTTACCTGGAAGTTAGAATTATAACAGTAAGGACATTTACCTGGAAGTTAGAACTGAAGTAATGAGGACATTTACTTGGGAGTTAGAACTATAGCAGTAAGGACATT